TCTTCTATAAAAAAATTCTGGTTAGCATGTTTCTAAAATACATGTTTCAGATATTCTATGTTCATGAGTGTGTGTGTATAATAGCAAAATGATATAAATTTGGGGAGAGGGAAAGGGTTTTAATTGTGGTTACCTAACAAGTTAACTAGATATACCTGTTTTTAAAATTCTATGGGTAATGTCACTATACTGTCCAGCCAGTTCTCTCTCTTCTAATTTTCTGCTCTTGCTTATTTTAAAGCAATTTGATTAAGGAGTATTTCAAACATTGTTTAACTATCTTAAAAAAACATGCCATACGTTTTTATTTATTTATTTTTTGTTTATTTTTATAGCTGAGCCATCCTGCCACCTGTTGGCAGCTCAGCGGCTGCTCAGCTCGGGCTGGACTCAAACTGCTGTTGCTCAGAGCTCAAACTCTTGAGCGAGCTCTTAACCAACTGAGCCACTAGGCCGGCTCGCTATACACTTTTTGACACTTGAGATTTATTATGTTCCCCACCAAGTATTTTTACCGTTGTTCCATTATCAGTGTGTGTAGAGTCCTCTCATCATTTGTGCTGGTTGTGTAACATTATATAGCTTTCCATAATTTTGTCAGTCCTCTATTATTGAATATTGAGGGTTTTTAAAAATTGCTGTTATAAACACTTTATCTCATAATTCCAACACCCTTACCGCTAAATACCATTTGTCTGTTTCAGGGTTACAGCTATTTTATTTCTAGGGGAAAAATGTAGCAGTGCAGAGCTGGGAAAAATAATCTTAATTTCTGCAAGGATGAGACTTCAGCTTTGTCATTTTCCCAGGGTTTCATCAGACAGACTAGCTCCAGAATCACCCAGATTTTCAGAATAGGGATGCAGTACAATAAAAAACCACACGGTCTTCACAATATCTGTTTTCTGTGCCTCATAAAGCTGTTGCAGGGATCAAACAAGGTGATGAAACTGAAAGCATGTTGAGACAAGTTTAAGACCATCACTTTTTTTCGATCTTCCCATATTTGACATGTGCCAGGTACTTTGCTAGGGTCTAGATATAGTGATCAGTTGTGGTCTCTGCCCTAAGGGAAAAACAGAGCCTAATAGAAGAAACAAGCTTTAATGACAACAACTCTGGGTGCTGAGAAGACAGGACAGTCTGTAGATGATTTGAAGTGAAGATCAGGGAACACTTCCTGGAGGCGAGGTGACTCCTAAAGAACCAGGAGGAATTAATTATTAGGTAAGTGAGGAGGAGAAGGTACATTTAGCGTGGGAAACAGCATGTAAATGCTTATGGGGTGAGAGGCCTTAGGACTTCTTGTTTTTTTGTTGTAGGGAATATGAATAGTGTGACTGGAAGAGACTGAGAGATTAAAAGAAAGGTGTTTATGGAGATGTGCAATCAGAGATTTCACTCCGCAATAACTTGAAACATTTTAAGTGGGAGGTATTACATGGTTAAGACTTGCGTGTAGAATAGGTCATTCTGACAGCAATATGCAAGATTGGAGGGAGGGAAAGACGGGAGGGAGAAAAGGGAAGAAACAGGAGTGGAGCATATAGCACGTCCCAAAACATCACACAGTTTTTCCCCATGGAGCGTATGTTCTTTACCAGAATAAAAGTGGTTGGCAAGTGAGATTTCTTTTATGGTTTACTGATCTCTTACTATTTGCAGAAAACGGGTAGTACAAAGAGGTATGAAACATGGACCTTATACTAAAAATTCTTCTAGGTAATGTGTGGTAAGCAGAATAATGGCTCCCCAAAGAACGCACACCCTAATTGTCAGAACCTGTCACCATGTTACCTTACATAGCAAAAGAGACTTGACTGATGTGACTAAAGTTATGGAGCTTTAAGTGGGAAATTATCCTGTGGGCCCAATCTAATAATCACAAGTCCTTAAAAGGGGAGAAACTTTCCCAGCTGTGGCCAGAGAAAGGCAGATATGACAATGGCAGAGAAACACACATGCAGTGTGAGAAGGTCTAGACTGGCCATTGCTGGCTTTGAAGATGGAGAAAGGTGTTCACGAGCCAAGGAGTGTGGAAGGCCTGTAGAAGCTGGAAAAAACTAGGGGACAGATTCTCCCCAAAGCCTCTGGAAAGAGCCCCGCCAGCACCTTGATTTTTCTCCCAGAGAGACCCATGTTGGACTTCTAGCCTACGAAACTGTAAGGTAATAATTTCATATTGTTTAAACCACCAAGTTTGTGGTAATTTGTTACATCAGCAACAGAAAACCAATACACAATCTAAAAAGAAACAATATATACATGGAAAGTTAAAATACCCGTAATCAACATTCCTAAGGACATACCAAGCTGGGGTAAACATGGGGATCCCCTGAGAATGATAGTCTATGTCAACTTGTCTCTCTGCCTTTAGTTGGTTGCAGAACCTCTGGTTTATCTTAACCCTTTCCTCAGCTGTCCCTGGGAGTCCTCAAGCTAGTAGAATACCTCATAAATTTTCACCCACTGTCCCAAACCCCAGCTCCTACACAGAGTCCTCCATTTTCCTACCCTGGCCTCGATTCCCTCTGCTGATGTCTCCTATTCTCTCAGTGTCTGAGAAGCCCCAGCCAGGTGCTGGGCATTGCTGCTCACTATGTACAGCTCCATGACGGTTGCTTTTTCCCTGTGCCCTGCAAGCCTTGCAGGTAGGCCTCAGCATCCCGTGAAGCCCTCGCCGTCCCCCTTTGGTGAAGCTGGGCTGTGTTTTCACATCAAGTGGGAAGAATCTGCTTCCCTTTTGCATGAAATTCCTTTGAAACATTTACAAAGCAATGCCACGAAGGTCTAATACAGGTTTTCATTTTTGTGTGTGTGAAATAACTCTACCGATTGTGTTTCGTCTCCTTTCCCTAGGACTCCGTTATAAATCATGAGGCTTGGGCCAAAGGCCTTTAGGAGACAGACACGATGCCGAACACCATGCAATTCTTATTATTGGGCAAGGCCTTCACCCTCTGACTCCGTTTTTCCTGGTAAAATGATTTCCCTGGGATTTCTCCATGCCTCATGTAAATAGATTTCAGGCATGTCCAGTCCGCCAGACTTCAAGCTGTGATCCCTCACAACTGCAGAGTTGTACAAGAGAATATACACTAAATAGCCTGTGAGTGGATGGCTGTTATAGGAGCTTAGAGGAGAGCAGGATCTAGTGAAGTTTGTGCGGAGGAAGCTGCAGAGAGAAGAGATCCCCAGTGTATGTTCCAGTGTGACTTCCTGTACTGTTCAGAACTCAACATGAGCAGAGCAGAGAATGAACACTCAATAAATGTTTACTGAGTTAATACTGGTGCAGAAATAACCGTCTGATAGGGATGGTGAGACTGAAGTATTGCTGAAAAGGAGTCAGAGGGCCGGAAATTTGAGATTGAGGTAACAACTGAAATTATAAGGGAATGAACACTTGGAGAGAAAAGAGAAATAACAGATTTCTAACCACTTTATGCATCAGTATAATGTGTGGGACCTCCTGTTTATATCTTCTGTTTAACTAGCACTCTGTCTAGTTTGTACTTAGGGTTTCTGTGTCTGGGCATTGCTATTTCCAGGGTTTTCCCTGTCTCAGAAATTTTAAAAAGTCATCATTTGTTTGAGTTGATCAATAAAATTGGAGAGTAAATTTTGTTTCTCTCTCTTGATATAGATCTAGACATAGTTATAGATCTAGATATTTAGGTGCTTAGGTCCTAGAGGCTGTAACTTCTATCATAATGGCTTCTTGACAATACAAGATTTTTTTTAGAAGTTTTTATTGGGGAACAGTGCGTTTTTCCAGGACCCATCAGCTCCAAGCCAAGTAGTTGTCTTCAATCTAGTTGTGGAGGGCGCAACTCCTTAACCCATGAGGGAATCGAACCGGCAACCTTGGTGCTATGAGCCTGCGCTCTAACCACCTGAGCTGACTGGCTGCCCCAACAATACAAGATTTTCGAAGAGAATTCTGTATGTTAGGATGAGTATCTAGCAATATGCTAGGGCACTTAGGAATTACTGTAAGCGACTCTTTGCTCTGAAGGAGATTAGGATGCTTGAGGAAGTATGAGTAAGAGATTACATAATAGGGAGCTCAGATCAGTTCATTTGGCCTTGATTGATTATTACATAAAGGGTGGAAAGAACAGTTGACTGATGAGACTTCATCCTTTTAAAAATAATGAGATAAAATTGATATAACAAAATTCACCATTAACCATTTTTAAATGTACCATTCAGTGATATTTAGTACAGTTCATCCAATTTTAAAAGCCCCGACGGAAATCAAAATCTCAATGGAGAGGACTAGGAAATGGAAATACCTCATTCTCTAACTACTCCACATTACAGGGCACCCAAACTTACCCTGCAGTAATGGGTGCCCCTCTCTGCTTGGCATGCAGAACAAATTGGTCACCTATTCAAGTTATCGACAACCTATATTACTTTAATTGAACGTCTTTTAGGTGTTAATATCTAATTTGAAATTCCTTCAGCTGTGCATTTTTTTCCTTAGTCTTTCCTGTGTAAATTCCATGTGGGCAGGTAACATCAGCTACCTCGTTCTCCTCAGCCCCCCTAGAGGAGAGTCCTCTCCCTACATATAGTATTTAGAAAGCATATGCTAATGACTGGTGGTTACCTAGTTCTGGGATTTTTATTTTCACTTATTCCTTACGATTCCCTCATGTCACAGCAGTGGTCAATACTACGTGGTGCACGCAGCAGCAGCTTGGGGTTGTGATGGTCCCTGGAGGGGACTAATCAAGCTAAACGTCAAATCCTGACCATTTTGAGCTCCAGGGAAGGCACCTGCTGTGGGGTCGAACCTGAGGTGGCGCTGTTGCACTTTATCATGGCTTTCCATTTTCATCTGGACTGAAGTCTCTTTTATACCTGCGCATCTACCAGAGAAGGAAGTGAATACGTAGATCAGCAACAAGTCCGGCTTTTACAGTTTCATCAGAGGTTTCCGGCTGCCTTGTGTGTGGTGAGCCCCGAAAACCCCAGTGTCCGCAGACTTCCCTTTGTGGGGAACCCGCCCAAACTCCATCCTCTGCTGGCAGCCACGCCCCATGGTAGGAAGGAGGGCCTGAAAAGCATTTCCTTGAGGCTGGCACACCTTGCCCTACCCAAACCGGTCTTTTTTTTTTTTTTTTCCCTGTCTGGCTGGACCAGTTCCATCTGAAACCAGAGTGACCCAGAGGAGGGACAAGGTAGGGAATAGGGGGTTGGGGGTAGGAAGAGTGGGTGGGGGAAGCAGCGATGCAACTAGGAGTGGACTTGGGCGTTTGGGAAGAAAAAGGGGGAGAAGGGCCGAGAGGGGGATGGCTGTGAGCAGCTGTTGTGTTTCACGTGGACAAACAATCACCCGATGAATGAATCTGGATCTCTCTGGAATAAGCATCTTGTCGGTTTTGGCTTCTATGGTTTCATGACAAGAGACGGAACTTGCCTCAGTAATGTTGGCAAAGAGCAGCAGCTTCCAGAAAGCCTAGTGAGGAGGGGCCTCTGTGTATTCCTGGAGGGGGGGAGGGGCAGTGGGGAGAGGGGCGGGTAGAAACAAGAAGGGGACAGGAATTGCTTGTCACAGGGCCACACAGTCATTTAGATGTGTGGCCTTGGGCTCGCTGCTCCCGGCTTCAGCTGTCTCACCCGCAAGGCAGAGCTGTGATACCTGCTATAACCTTGGTTCAAAACTACAGTGTGATGTGCTGCTCCTTGTCGACCGAATTTGTTTTCTCCTAATCTGTCTTTTTCTGTCTCTTTCCTGTTTCACTATCAATCCCTCAGTCTCCACCCCATTTTGTCTCCCTTTCATTTCTGTGCTTGTGGCCTTCTTCTCTTAGGAGTCCTTTCCCCATCTGCGTTTCTCTTCCATTTCAGACCAAGCTTTCTTCCCACTAAGTGAGAGCCATCAGTCTCTGTGGAGATAAAAGCTACTGTAATGTGCAGCACTCCCACACTGACATCAACTGGAAACAGCTCTGTGCTGCCCACTTCCTTTACCCTCCTCAGCACACCAGGCTCTGCTCACAGCCAGCTAGGGGCCATCCAGGTCCTTCAGTGAGACATGACACAGTATTTGCTTCAGTGAGAACCATATACTGTCTTTCTTCAGTGCCTTCATCACAGTGTTAGTGTGCTAGGGCTACCCTAACAAAGTACCACAAATTGAGTGGCTTAGACAAGAGAAATGTTTTCTTTCACAGTTCTGGAGGCTGGGAAGTCCAAAATCAAGGTGTTGGCGGGGTTGGTTCTTTCTGAGGCTGTGAGGGAAGCATCTGTCCCAGGAGTCTCCCTCGGCTACTTTATGTTCATATGGCCTCCTCCCTGCATCTGTGTCTGTCTTGAAAGTTCCCCTTTTTAAGGACACCATTGATATTGGATTAGGGCCCACCCTAATGACCTTGTAATTGGATTACCTCCATTAAGTCCTGATTTCCAAATAAGGTCACATTCTGAGGTACTGGGAGCCAGGACTTCCAACATAGGAATTTTGGGGCAGCACACTTCAACCCATAAAAATGACTAGCGCTTTAATTATGCACACGCTCAAAGTTAGTTGAGCAGCACATCTATTTCAGTTGTCTCCTGCAGAAATTGTGTTTCCCCACCTTTCCTAACCCCTCACAACCAGCTCCCCTAAGCTCTGGGAGTTATGAGATTCTCCATCTCTGTTTTATTTTAACCCAAGGGCGTTATGTTCCTATTGTTGTGGTAACAAATTACTACAAACTTGGTGGCTTCAAACAACACAGATTTTTATCTGTCAGTTCTGGAGGTCAGACATTTGACATGGGTGGGCAGATCTGTGTTCCTTTTGGAGGCTCAAGGGGATAATGTTTCCTTGCCTTTCCTCCCTGCTAGAGACTGTTTGCGTTCCTTGGCGCATGACTCCCTTCCTCATTTTTAAAGCCACATCAAGTCTTGCTCACATCCCATATGCCAACACTGGCCCTTCTGCCCACTTCTTCCACATTTCAGGGTCCCTGTGACAACATTTGATTCACTGGATAGTCCAGGATACCTTTCCTATTTTAAGGTCAGCTGAGAACTTCCATCTGCAATCTTAATTCCCCTTTCGTGGTTTAACACTATTGAAAACTAACATATTCATAGTTCTGGAGATTTGGACCCAGACATCTTTGGGGGCCCATTATCTGCCTGCCACGCTGAGTTTTCAGTGACTGGGTTTTGTTTATTGGGTTTGTTGTTTTGTTTTCACTCTGAAGGATCAATGTTTTGTTTGCTATGTGTAGTAAAAAAAACCTTCATATCCCTTTTCATAGAGAACAGCAGCGTCCTGCCTAGTGATAGAGCTAAAAATGTTTCCCCACTGAGCAGAAACCTGGGTGCCATGATACTTCCCATATAATACTGCTAAAAATTACTCCCCATCCCCACTTATACTTTAACATTACAGTTTAATCCTTTATACCCAATTAATTTGTGTGGGTTATTGTCCTAAAAAAATTTATTTCAGATCCAATGCCATTTTTAAGGGTGAATTTAGCTATTTATTTATTGAATCAGTATATGAATCCTGATGTGTACCAGCTAGCACTAGTCTAGGTGCTAGGGCCACAGCAATGAAAATGAATACGCGATGAAGAAAATAGCCAAAGTCCCTAAAGTCTTGTTCTCATGAAGGTTTCACGCTTTATCTTCTAACTCTTGTCATTTCATTTTTGTCCTCGTCACCAGCCGAGGTTCAGGGGTCTTAGTTTCCCAACCTGCCTTCTGACTTTAAATGTATCAACTGCTCTGTGTCTATTTCTTGGCTCATAAAGGATGTAAAGAAGCTGATTGTGCCCTGAAGGCAATTACTGTCTAGCTGGGAAGAAACAGATAATAATAAGCAAACTGATTAAGTACTGAATAAATAGATTATGTATTCAGTGTTCTGTACTAGAAAATCATTTCTTCGACACGGTTTCTAATGGGGGGAATGAAAGCAGAAGGGAACGAATGCACACAAAGAAAAAGCAGCTCATTGCACAGACACCAGTGTGGAGTGGAAAGGGTCCTGTCCTGAGTCCAGGCACCCAAAATCTGTTTTAAGCTCTGGCCCTGGTTTTGTGATCAAAGAGACCAATGCACTTACCTCAGCATCCTTAGTTATTTTATTATTTTATTTTTTTCTTAGAAAATAAAGGGTTGAGGTAGCCTAGGAAATCTCAGGGGATTCTTCCCGGCTTAAAAAAATAAGTCTTTTATTTTTTAACGTCTCATAATTTCTCTGAGTTTCCTGAACAGAAGAATAATGAGGAGATAGGGTAGAGTTTAGCCGTGTCTGGAGAAGGAAAGGAGAATGGGGCTGGAGGGGAGAGTTCCTGTCCACCCCTCGATTTCAGCTTCTTTTCCTGAAGTGACTCTTACCCACTCAGCTCACGTGACCATCTTCACTGCTTGCCCCTCTCTGTCACTCCAGCTGAACGGGGCAGGGTAGATTCCAGTTTTATCATGTTGTGAATACCTCTCCCCAAGGGCGAGTCTTCAGAGAACTGAAGGATTCCCTGATGCTTGTGCTTTGGATAGCCCTTGTGGGCCTCAGGTGTATCCCAGCTTCTAAGCATTGTCGGCTCCCCCCACCACTCAAACTGTTTTCTCATGTATAGTAAATAATAAGTCTTCTTGGCACTGCAGTAGCAAGGAATATTGACAACCAATCCTAACAATTGCCATGGTTGAAGCAACTTGGAAGGTAGTGATTGCATTTTTCAGGCCTACACTTTTATTCTTCTATGGACTAAAATACTGGCAAGAATTATAAATAAGAAGGAGTCTTGTTTTAATATTTCCTTCTACAGCAGTTAATATCTTATAGATTCAGCCATCATAAACTGTCCCATCTTTAGACATTTCACAGGGGTTCTTAAAGTTGTCAGGTAACAAAATACATCGAAATATGGTGCTGTTTCTAGAACATTGACCTAAATTAAAATGATTATATGTATATAATTCTAGGTTATGTGATTATACAAATTGTAGCAGATGCTAAAGTTTAAAGAAAAAAGTGTGTCTCAAAATGTACATTGTGGCAATAGTAATATCTCAATAATACACATATAATACTCACTTTTTTATTTTTTAAAGATTTTATTGGGGAATTGGGGATGGGGAACAGCCAAGTTGCTGTCTTTCAGTCTTAGTTGTGGAGGGCGCAGCTAGCTCAGCTCCAAGTCCAGTCGCCATCTGGCCGCCCATCGGCAGCTCACGGCTGCTCAGCTCAAGGTGCCCTGTTCAATCTTAGTTGTGGGTGAGTGTAGCCCACCATCCCATGCAGGAGTCAAACTGGCAACCTTGCTGCTAAGAGCACGTGCTCTCACCAGCTCAGCGGCAGCTCAGCTTGGGTGCAGCTCACGGCCCATGTGGGAATCGAACTGGCGACCCTGTTGCTCAGTGCTCGTGCTCTTAACCAACTCGGCCGGCCCAATACTCACATTTATAAGCCAGGTAGTTTTCTGGAGAAAGCTTCAGAATTATTAGCTTTTGTCTTGTAATCCGTTGTTGAATGATTTAACCAGATGTACCATATATCATTGGGTAAATGCAGGGTGTTGTGTTGGGCTACTCCAGGAGACACTGTTTATGTTATATTCATATTATGCTAGCACGTGAATGATGAAAAATATTTGCCAAAGATAGTCATTTGCAGTTAGAAGATGATCCTAAGTACTTTCTTTTTTTTCCTGAGAATAATCAGCTATCAGGACCAATTGTATGTTGAAGCCACCCCTAGTTGGTGTCATTAGAGTCAACTTCTCCAAAGCCCTTGTTAAGTCAGAAGGGACTGAATGGGCCTAGACAGAGAAAGCTGCTCTTGACCTTGCCTCCATGCTCTACGACGCTCCTTCAGCCTGGGCCCAAATCTAGTGCTGCCTTTGGCCAGTGAGAGGCTACAGCAGTAGGAAAGGACTTGCCTATCTGAGTAGTAGAAGTGATAGGCTGGGCTTTTGGTGCAAGGAAGGAGGACAAGGGCTCAGGGAATGCTGAAAATCTATCTTGACTGCCTTGTTTTCCATCAGATTTATAAGCAGATTCCACAGATGCCCCGCCTCCTACTTCTGTGGTCTCTCAATACCTGACCCCTTTAGCATCCCTGGGGGCTGATGTCTTAGTACGAGTCAAAGTGGGTTCTGATGGAGGCAGAAGAAAGAAGCGGAGTAGTCACTAGGATATCCTCAAAGCCCCACAGTTGTACAGTGAAAAT